AGCTCAAAGTTTTTATTTTTTTTGTAGGATAAGGGTGACAAGCGAGCGCACAGTCCACCTGATGGTAAGTGGTTGCTGTGGCCCATAGACATCCACATCTATCTTCGATTAAGAATCAAAATGCAGATGCGTTGTCACCCGTGAGGACTAAGATGGAATGCCTCGCTTCCAGTAAAAAGGGTCTCCGGTTCTCTACACTCACCATACGAAATACAGCAGCGTTAAGCTGCTATTTTACGCTGGTATTCTGTGAGAGCGTGGTCGTTCCCCGGTCGAGCCGACCCATTCGTGCTACAACTATAGTACAGCTGCAGCATGGCTCTACCACGCTCTACCATAAGTTGTTGATGAGTATGTTTACCTGGGACAAATAGTTCGACTAGGTAAGTTCAACTTCGACCGAGAGGTCAATCGGCGGATTCAATTCAGCTGGGCAGCGTTTTTAGCGAAATTACGACACATCTTCTCGTCAGGTATATCTCAAAACTTGAAAACGAGATTGTGCGTGTTGCCAGTGATGACCTATGGAGCTGAGACCTGGTCCTTCACTGCTGGCCGTACGAGGACGCTCAAGGTCGCTCAGCGAGCTATGAAGAGGGCTATGCTCGGGGTTTCTCTTCGTGGTATACATAGCCCAACGGATTAGTAAGCTGAAGTGGCAATGCGCCGGCCATATAGCTCGTAGAACCGACAACCGATGGGGAAAAAGGTTATTGAGTGGCAGGCTAGTACCTACAGGCGAATTGTAGGGCGACGGCGGTTCAGGACTCTGCTTTGTGGCATTCCTTTGGGGAGGCTTATGTTCAGCAGTGGACTTGTGAAGGACTGTAATGATGATGATGAATAGTGATAGTGATTATGTACTCTTTGACGATGTCAATCTGCAAAATGAGAAATCATGAAATTTTTTTTTATAGAATAAGGGTGACAAACGAGCACAGTCCACTTGGGGGTAAGTGGATGCTGAAGCCCATAGACATCTACATTTATCCTCGATTAAGAATCAAAACGCAGATGTGTAGACACCTCTGAGGACTAAGATGGAATGCCTCGTTCCAAGTAAAAAGGCTCTCCGCTTCTTTAAAGTCACCATCCAAAACACAGCAGCATTAAGCTACTATTTTACGCTGTTATTCTGTGAGAGCGTGGGGCTTCCTTGGTCGAGCCGACCCATTCGTACTATAACCAACATATAGCTGCGGGGTAGCGCTACCAAGTATAAAAAATTAAATAATATAGCTGAAAAAGTCATGGCAATACTAGTACTATAGTAAAGCAGAGCCAAGGTCGTTTTACTAGTTTTGTTATTATAATTACGAGTATTTTAGTTAATGTATCTTCGTCAAACATGTGCAATTATTTCATACCGTCTTTGAACTTCAGCAAGCACTGATTTTTCGTGTTCACTGAGCCCGGTTTCGAGCATATCAAGAGTGTCGTTCATCTGTTCCGCGTTGAAGAAGCCGCAAACGTTTGTGTCAATTCCTGGCTGATTTAGTGTAAACCAGGAAGCGAGACGAGCCAATTCCACGTTTTGACTCTGTAAAAAACGTATCGCTTTTACAAATTGTTCAGTTTTCGGTTTAAGAATTAAGAATTATTTTATTATTTGGCATACGTTAAAAGGCTCTTAGCGCTTCCTTATCCGCTGCAATTTCTTCAGCACGAAGTATGCATCATTCGTTGGACAAAGTTCCTTTTTTAAAACGTTTTGCTTAGGTGATTAAGAATCAAAATTCAATAACATACCCTTCATATTAGAGAAATAATAAAAATTCATTCGATTAATAATTTAATTAATACTTCAAGCATGACGCATTTTTTATAAACGCATATTACTATTTCAAGCTTGTAGCTCAAAGGCTTAGCGCTCACTGTAAATTTCACAGAATGTGAGCAACCCGGGTTCGATCCCCGCCGGCACATATGAAATTGTTAATTGCAATTTTAAGTGCTGATTTACCACTTGCTCGGCGGTGAAGGAAAACATCGTGATGAAACCTGCATGTCTGTAAATAAGACAAAAACAATATTTCGAAGACTTATGAAGTTCACCAACAAGCTTTGGGGCAGTGCCGCTGACTTTTCGTTGCCCTAAAACCCTCTCAGAAATGAGAGAAGTCTTGTGCCCAGCAGTGGGACGTATATAGTCTGTAACTTTAACTACACATTATCTTCTAATAACATATTATAATATGCAATATATGTGAAAGTTTGTAAGATGCTTGGATGTTTCATACTCAAGCATATACAGTAAAATGAACATGAAAATATGTCTATAACCACGCGGGTAATAACTAAAAGGACTTACGAAGATGTCTTTGTTTATTTGTTGTAAAGTGTTGCGTTTACATTTTCAAGACATAGTACATGATTTTTAAGAGAAAGGCACAAAACGTAGCTAATACACATAATTTTCACTACTCCATTCAATTAGAATGAAATTATAAATTTCTCTTTAATAGAGGTTAAACTTTATAGTTAGTTAAATTTTTAAATACGGAAAATGTAAATGCAATATAATTACTTTGCAGTATTCAGACGCCCGTCTACAAATAGCCTTAATGTCGTCGCTAGCTGGATGCCAAGGCTGAGGACCTTTATTGGACAATAAACCCATGCCTGTAGCTGCTGCATTAATCACGCCGACTCCTTTACTCTGTGAAACATACATTATTACCACGTACATTGTAATATTTTGTATGACGCTAAGCTCTTTTACACAACATCATACATTTTGTTACTAATATCGTTTATGTAAATAAAATGTCTGAGATAAATTCAAATAAAATGACATCTTTAAAATTAATATCGTCCTCATCAAGAAATTATAAAAATGATTTTGTAATAGTTTATTTACATAACATTTAAATATACAATTATTACCACAATAAAAACACTAAAACAAGAACTTATATTATCATAATATAGTCTCATACTGTCCTACTCCTCGCGGTACAGTATCTACGCTGAAAGAAGAACAATAAGTAATAACAACAAGAGTAAGAACGCTGGCTGTATTAAAAAAGGTTTTTGAGACTTAAGTTATTGTATGTGAATTTTAAATTGTTTCGTTAGTCTTTAAAATTTAAAATCCTTTGCAGTAAATAGCCTTCCAAGAATGCGCAATTAGAAATGCGTATAATTCTTAAAATAGTTGCCGATTGTCTAACTCGAGACCTTCGCATTTTGCAATAGTAATGTATCTCCTCCAACCCATTAGTGGAATTGAGTATAGCAATTTCGTATGATTTTTTTTTCCTATCAATCGGTCATCAAAGCCGCGTCCAAAAACAGCAGAGAGCGTCATGTGCAAGCAATCTTAGATGGTAGATACCAATATAACATTAGTGTAATGAAAAAGATCCAAGAAAGAAAATTAATATTATTAAATTTCATATAGTTATTTAAATAAAACTTAAAGCTAACTAACTATTTAATATATTATGCAATAAAATTGTTATGATATTTTTTTTTCTTTTTCATTCTAGCACCTAAAACATTAACGAGCGCATACCTTAAAATAATTCGTATAATTCTGTAAGCGATTATCAAAGAGCGTCGACTTGGCATATGAGAGTATGGTAGATATTTTGACATCAGACTCTTCCACTATTTCCTGCATCAAGTCAATATCGTAATCAGCGATTCCAATATATCGGACCTTGCCGTTTTTAACAGCTTTCTCGAGTACTGGGAGTGTTTCTTTTAAAACGATCGACGTATCGGGAGCAAATGTAATATCGTGAACCTGTAAATTTCATTGAACGTGAGATAAGGATTACAATTTTGTTTAAATAAATTGAATTTGATCGAGAAGATTGTTATTTGTCTAACATTAAAAAAACTCACGATTTTTTTGATGCATAATTTTTATCAGACGTGACCCACTGTGTAGCTCTAATTACGACGCACATCAAAGTACTGGCTCAATGTCAATTAGATCAATAAAAAGGTATCCGTGGTATGTGGTAGAAATATTACTGTCTTAGATTGATGCTCATTGCGTGTTGCTTCACCTTAGACCATTTAACCCATGAATGGTCTGAGTGCTTCACGCAACGGTATTTTTCTAGATTTCTACTTTACAAAAGAATAGTAGAGTAAACTAGTTACTCTGTAAGACGTAATTCGTGTGAGCAATAAAATTATTAAAACTGTTCTCTGTTAGTACGATAAGCCTGAAGGCAACGCGTATTAAAATAAGTTGAAATAAGCCATGTATTTTCACGTCAGACCTGAATGAGATCGACATAATCCACACCAAGAAGACTTAGGGTATTGTCCACGCCGGCTTCTGTCTTCTCCGCTGAAAAGTCGAACATTTTCTCAGGAGCTTTTTCGTAACGCCCAACTTTGCTTCCAATGAAATATGATTCTCTTGGGATACCTCGTAGTGCCTTCGAAGTAAAGCACATAATAAATTAATAGGGAACTCAGGCCGGTAAGAACTCGAATATTTTCTTAAATATAACAAAGACTGGTTGTTTAAGAATATAATGGGCTATATGAAAATAAGGAGGGTAAATAAAGGACATTGAACAAAGACAAATGACCACATAGTATTTTTTTTATAGGATAGGGTGACAAACGAGCACACAGTCCACCTCATGGTAAGTGGTTGCTGTGGCCCATAGACATCTACATTTATCTTCGTTTGCGAATCAAAATGCAGATGCGTTGTCACCCGTGAGGAATAAGATGGAATGCTTCTTTTCCAGTAAAAAGTGTCTCCGGTTCTCTACACTCACCATACGAAACACATCAGAGTTAAGCTGCATTTGACGCTGGTATTCTGTGACAGCGTGGTCCTTCCCCGGTTCCAATTTTTATTGTCATTATTCAGTTTGATCATCGACTTTCAAAAAAATATTAATTAACATGTTTTTGTTTAGATTAGATGACGACTAATCTCCTTTAAGGAAATACATACAAACATAATAATGTTATAGTTTTCGATTCCAATGATAAAAGAAAAAAATTTAATTTTTTTTTAATTTGAAAATAGGGATTGAAAATTCGTATTAAAAAAACATGTGTGAATGATAAAACTGTTTTTTTTTTAATTAAAAATAAACAGGTAAATGTTGGCTTTTACACGTTATTTCATCGGTATATTTTTATTCGTATGCGAGCTTTGATATCTTAGATTCATGTATCTCGCGTATCAGCTAGCGCTGGAGGTAAGCAGTTATTGCAGAATTTTACTAAAAGTCCCTCCACATTTTTCTTCCAGAACTGGTCGTCTTTTTATGAATTCAAATTTAATTATACCGTCACCCATCCACAGGAAAATATACACAAGTTTTGACCAGTTCATAATTGACCCTAAAACTAGAGGGAAACGTAAAAATTTGAGATTAAAATCATCCCTTACATCTTTGAATCGGAGTATTACGTTAGGTAGCGTAAAAAATATTTTGTAATTTTAGATTGAAAATAATGTATTTTGATAGAAACGTAAAAATTCAGATTAAAGTTATCTTTTACAGTTTTGATTCCTGAGCAAAACCAAATTTTTGATCATAAAGGATATCCCCTGTGTAGTGGCGGGAAAGAATACTCACTAAACCATGTCTTCCCGTGGGTGTCGTAAGAGGCGACAAAGAGAAACTGAGGCAGAGGATGGGCAGCAGCATCTTTCTGATAAAAACAACAATAAAAAAAACTGCGGTTGCCAACCCGCTCGCTAAGCGTGGCAACTATGACAATATACCCCCAATGAGAGTAACGAAGAGACGGCCCCCAGTCCCCGGCGGCCCCGCTATTCCTGGCTACGGTGGCGACGATGGTAACGGCGGGGCAGGGGGTGGTTCGATTGCCACCTACGACGACTCGACCTGGCAACTTATAAAGCACGCACCCTGAGGACTGACGAGAAGATCCTGGAACTGGAAGAAGAGATAGACAAGTTGCGCTGGAATATCATAGGATTATCCGAGGCCCGAAGAGAGGGGGAGGACACGGTAATCCTTGAATCCGGCAAGTTGTTCTATCACCGGGAGGGCGACCATCTGTCCCAAGGAGGTGTCGGATTTATCGTCCACAAATATCTCGTTAACAATGTTGTAAAGATTGGGAGTGTGTCGACGAGGGTTGCGTACCTTATACTCAGAATCACCAAACGGTATTCGCTGAAGGTCATACAGGTTTACGCACCAACCTCGGCACACCTCGATGATGAGGTGGAGGAAATGTATGAGGATATCTCTAGAGCCATGCATTCCTCCAAAACCCGCTATACGGTGTTAATGGGAGACTTCAACGCAAAACTAGGCACAAGAGAGAACGGTGAGCTGAAAGTAGGGAAATTCGAAAGAGGGCAACGGAACCCAAGGGGCCAGCAGCTGGCCGACTTCATGAAGAAAGAGGGACTCTTTATGATAAACTCCTTCTTCCAGAAGCGGCCCCACAGGAGGTAGACCTGGTCAAGCCCCGTCGATTCGACAAAAAATGAGATTGACTTCATTATGACGACCAGACGACAACTGTTCAGTGATGTCTCAGTGATCGCGAGGATGAAAACCAGCAGCGATCATCAAATGATGAGAGGCACACTGAACCTAAACTTTAAGTTAGAGAGTTCACGTCTAATGAAGTCAACGCTCCGTCCCCCTCGTGCTCTAATCCAAAGTCCCGAAACCTTTCAGCTCTAGCTACGAAACCATTTCCAGTGCCTAGAAGATTGCAATGCAGTGGACGATATGAATGACAAGCACGTGGAAACTGTCCATGCGGTCGGAGCTAAGTTTTGCAAGACCCGCCGCAGAAGAACATAAAAACTCTCCGATCACACTCTTAATCTCATGGCTGTTAGACGGGATATGAAGCTGCAGTCTTCAGTAGATTTGACAGCATACAGGCAACTGAACAGACAGATCTCCAAATGCATGCGGCGGCACTTATACAACTTTAACACTGCTTGTATTGACGAAGCGATTGAGCGGAACCAGGACTCCAAAATCTTTGCTAGAGATCTGTCTGCCAGAAACAGCCAACTGTCGAAGATGAAGACCGAGTGTGGCAGCGTCATTTCCGGGATACCTGAGATTTTAAGTGAGATTGAGAGGTTCTATGGGCAGCTCTACACATCATCGTTGGAGCCACACGCAAGTGTGAGTATCCAAGAGCGAGTCTTATCCGACATTATTCCGATGATATCCCGGACGTCAGTCTGAGCGAGATTAGAATGGCTCTACAACACCTTAAAAACGGCAAGGCCCCAGGCGAGGATGGAATTACAGCGGAGCTTCTGAAAGCGAGTGGAAAACCGGTGCTTGAAGTCCTTCAGAAGCACTTTAATTCCGTCCTCCATGGTGGCATTATATCGGAGGCGTGGAGCGGAAGTGCGGTGTTCTTGTTTTTCAAGAAAGGCGACCACGCTCTCTTGAAGAACTACAGACCGATTTCCCTTCTGAGCCGCGTCTACGTGCTGTTTTCGAGAGTCATTACGAATCGTCACGCGCGCAGACTTGACGACTTCCAGCATCCCGAACAAGCCGGTTTCCGAAAAGGCTTTAGCACCATAGACCACATACATACCCTTCGTCAAGTTGTACAGAAGTCCGAGGAGTACAATTTGCCACTATGCCTGGCGTATGTGGACTATGAGAAAGCCTTTGATTCCGTCGAAATTTGGGCGGTGCTGCAGTCCCTTCAGCGGTGCCAAGTTGACTGTCGGTATATCGAAGTGCTGAAGTGCTTGTACAGTAGGGCTACGATGGCTATCCGAGTACAGAACCAGAGTACGAAACCTATGTAATTGCAGAGAGGTGTAAGACAGGGTGACGTTATATTCCCGAAATTCTTCACCGTTGCATTGGAAGACGTTTTCAAGCTTCTGCACTGGAAAGGATACGGTATCAACATCAATGGCGAGTACATCACTCACCTTCGATTTGCCGACGATATAGTCCTTATGGCAGAATCAATAGTGTTCCCAACGGATAGATCTTAAGATAAACATGGACAAAACAAAGATCATGTTAATGTCAGTGTCAAACCTATACCGGTAGTTGCTGGGAGCATTAAGCTCGAAGTTGTTGACGAGTATGTTTACCTGGGACAAATAGTCCGACTAGGTAAGGCAACTTTGGCCGAGAGGTCAATCGACGGATTCAACTCGGTTGGGCAGCGTTCGGGAAATTACGGCACATCTTCTCGTCAGGTATAAATCAAAACTTGAAAACGAGACTGTACAACCAGTGCGTGTTGCCAGTGATGACATACGGAACTGAGACGTGGTCCGCCACTGCTGGCCGGATGAGGAAGCTCAAGGTCGCTCAGCGCGCTATGGAGAGGGCTATGCTCGGAGTTGCTCTGCGTGATAAAATCTTAGAAATGAGGATATCCGCAGTAGAACCAGAGTGACCGACATAGCCCAATGGATTAGTAAGCTGAAGTGGCAATGGGCCGGCCATATAGCTCGAAGAACCGACAACTGATGGGGAAAAAAGGTTCTCGAGTGGCAGCCTCGTACCGGCACGGCAGGCGAAGTGTAGAGCGTTCCCCCACTAGATGGAGTGACGACCTGGTAAGATATGCAGGAAGTCGATGGATGCAGGTGGCTCAGGACCATGCTTTGTGGCATTCCGTGGGGGAGGCCTATGTTCAGCAGTGGACTTGTGAAGGGCTGTAATGATGATGATGATGATGAAAGGATATCAATAAATAAAGGTTGTCTGGAAGAGATCGCTCTTAGCGATAAGGCCGTCCATTGTACAACATTTCTATCTCTCCTTTTTTGTTAATATTTAGTTTCTTTTTTGGCGTACAATAAAGTGTTATCTATCTATCTAAATAGAATTAATGTTAAGTAAAACAAAAATATATTTTACGGATTTTATCGCGTATATTATCTTATTTTATATTCCCGACGTTTCGAGCACTTTACAGCACCCATGGTCACGGGGGGGACTGAGGTGTATGACGTCCTAATGTCCCACACCTCATAAATTGTGTATACTAATAAGTTGTTAGTGAAGATAACAGTTACATATTACTTATTATAGAAACATAATACATTTTACCTTTCCTATCGTACTCTCGGAAATGCCTTGACCGTACCAAGGCCCAGTCTCTAAATAATTAACGCCTCGCTTCAACGACTCTCTTATAAGATCGAAACTCCTTCTTTCATCATATACTCTAAAACAAATATTTTATGATTAAACATTTCGTAGCTTACAAAATTCTGCAAAAAAATCGTGACTTACGAATCGTAAGTCACGATTTTTTGCAGAATTTTATTAGGGTTTGGTACAGGAAAGTAAGAACATACATAATTATACTTGTAAATCTATAGATATACAAATAAATAAAATTGGGGGATTAGGGGGGTAGAGTTGAGAGGGTTATTTGCATGCCATGAAGACACGAATAGTCATTTGTAAAAAAATTACCCATTCGTCAGTCTGTCTGTTTGTCTGTCTGTGTGTCAGAGTTAATCTTTAGAATGGCTGAACCGATTCCGATGAAAGTTCACTACTACACAGATCACTAGTTCAGAGATATATTTTATTCAAAACAGTTGAAGATATTTAAAAAAAAAAACGAATTAATAGATCCTATCCAACCCAAGCGAAGTCGGGGCGTGTCGCTGCTTTGTATAGTAAGTAAAGCTAATCTCCGAAGAAAATATAATGTTTACTGATGTCTATCTCTAGAATTATGATAATGTTTGTTCTTTGATCAGCTATTTTTATCAGGCCTGCATACCAATAATCAGTACACTTGATTTTCGCATCGTATAACGCTACTAAAGTTATAATATTAATTTTAAAATTATTTGATAAATGTACTTCTTGTTTCTATTGTGTCTAACCGATTACTGTTATTGAAGCAATATAAAGGAAAAAGGCACACTTAAACAAATAATAATTATTAATCATTTCACTGTTCCGTGATAGAGAGAACAACATTTCGATTGTTTGACTATTGTCACAGAATATAATATAATAGTACTACTGTGTCTTTTTCGCGGATAAGGAAATTGTTAAATTCATTTTATAAACATTTCTCTTCCATTTTTGGATTTGCATGAATATTGTTTTTCGATACTTTGGTTTTAGATCTGTCAATATTGTAAACATAAACTTTATTTATGTTACCCAATTAAATCCTTAGTAGATCCTCCCTACTACTCCCTCAAAAGAGGCAAATGTCCAGCTGAGGACTTTTACGGGTCAATAAAAATGAAGAATTAAATAAATTATGTAATGCCCTAGTTTAATAAACTTTTTTTTTATAGAAACGATGCATGCGACTTAAGCCTCCGAAATAATAGAATATTAACGAAAATGGTCGTTGCCGCACTTATGAAACAAAAAAATAAAATAAAAATACAAGTTTGTCTTCCTAGAAGTACTTAGTCTAGAATTTAGAACATGAGCAGCGGTTCGTAAATATTTTTAGTAGTCGTCGGGCAATACATATAACGAATGTGAATACAGTTTTGCCATAAATTATCTTAGATTGACACGTAAATATTTTGGACTTACCCATAAATATTACTGAAAGCGGCTCCTCCTAGGCTGACATGAGAGACCTTGAGGCCGGTGTCACCAAGTTCGTTGTATCTCATGGTAATTATGGTATATTTATGTTCACGATTTTAAATTTAAAATAGTTGCGATACAATGCCTTACCACTCGCTCACTTCGCTAGCGAACGACTGATTGGTAATCACCAATCAGTCGCTAGCGAAGTGTGGTGGGCTGTGTGCGCCTGATAGGATAGGAGTGGGTATTACAAAAACAAAACGTTATCTAAAATAATTGTATATCGGTGTATAACTATCACTATCACTATATTGGTCCATTGCGTAGGTACTTATCCTAGTAGCAGGCGGAATGTTTCTAACTATAACTAGATATTGTAGAATTATGGTATTGTCTCATCTCTGGAATGCAGAAGCAAAACATATAATAAGTAGACGATACAAACGTCTAAAGATCGAATCTTTATAACGTACTATCTATTCCAAAATATATAATAGAGAGCTGTTTGAGCTTATGCATTGTACACTCAAGTGTTAAATATTTTTACAGTATCTAAAAACGTTATTATTTATAATATTACTATATTGACGAAAGTAAGTATCTTTATAAATAATATTATTTATAAAGATATTTACTAAAACGCAATGATTATATTATTATACTCTTTGATACTTACATGTTTTAAAAGCTGTAAAATAAACGGCGTACAAAAAATACTTTATAAATTATTTTATTTTTCTCACTCGACATGGTGACAGCAATTAATTAATAAAAATGGCACAAAGGGAAATACTTCAATTCTTTTATACCGACGTCCATCGATCATGCACTTGCGCATGTAGCAAAAAATAGGTACCTACCTAGCCGCCAATATCTTCTATTTTGTAATAGATTTAAATGGTATAGACAAGCTTCTGGTTTACATAAATGTCTGATAAGTGTCAAGTCAATATTTTCATGTATTTGATAAATGAAAAAGCAAATGATTTATTAACATCCTTTTAACTCCTGAAGTAAGAGGAAGTTTGGGTGGAGTTGCGTTCTAGGGACACCTCCGATTTGGACCAAATTTTTTACATGTTTACCAACATAAATGATGAAAAACCCCAAAGGTATTTTAGGCGCAAATGCCCCTGAAATTTTTTACGAGGGTTTGAGTTTTAGATTTTTAAGACAGTTTTTTATGATAAATCGACTAAACCTCACTTTTTTACACAGGAATATTCACCCAAAGTTACTTACTACTACTTACTATTATAATATAATGTGTTTTATTTCTGAAATATTTAAAACTGCCCAGAAATACTTGAACACTCAAAAATGCTTTCAGTTGTACTAGGTTAGAAGGTTGCGGCGGGAGCGAAGTCAACCTGACTTTATAGATAAGATATCTGATCTGAATCTGAATCTGTACTAAAAATGAATCAGCACGCCCCGACTCCACGTAGTCTTGTCTGCCATACTCCTAGAGTGTTTTTGTAAAGCCGTAGGCGCGGAGGGAGAGCAGCTCCCGTCCGCCAGGTGTCTGTGATTCTCTACGCAAGGGGGAGGGGCTGCACTTCCCGCAGCGTCGAAGCCGTTGTAGAAGTAACTTTGGGTCAATATTTCTGTGTAAAAAGTAAGATTTAGTCGATTTATCATGAAAAACTGCCTAAAAATCTAAAACTTCAAACCCTGTGGCATTTGCGCCAAAAATCCCTTGGGATTTTTCATCATTTATGTTGGTAAACATGTAAAAAAATTTTGGTCCAAATCGGAGGTGTCCGTAGTACTGAAAAATATCCGGAAATTTTATTAAGGTTTTTGGATAGTGCCGTGACTATTTTACTTTACACATAATAAAATTCATGCATGTTCATTACCTCAAGAAACATAAATGAAAGAATTGACAATTTCATTAGTAAAGTTTGTTCTGCAACCGAGTTATGCTTCTTATATAATAATAACAAAGAAAATATAGGTAAAAGACGACTTATAAGTGACAAATTAATTGTAGAAATCATAGATGTGAATCTTTCCAACAATCTATAGTTGAATCTAATTAGAACACTTTGTTATAACTAAATATATACACAGTTATAACTAAACTACGTCAAGCTAAAAAAGTTAATTAAACAACAATAGACGACAACATCAGGACAAATAGATGTAATTCAAAGTAGAATCAGATCTTCAGGAAGATGTTGTGGTAAATATGGTAATATAACATCACATTCCTATTCCCTGTGCCCTGCTCAAAATAATTACTGGGCGCTAGTCTACATAAGAGAATCAAAGAAATATTTGAATGAATTAGATAACGCAGATGTTACATATAATAAACAAATTTCTATTAGTGAGCCGACGTCATCGATCACTAATAAAAAGATCGATGGCTGACTGACATAGCTGTGTCTCGCCAGCAACGCAGTCAGGAATTTGCATATATATATACAACGTGTCCCAAAATTCAACGATAAGCCAACACCGGAGGATAGACCTGCCCCGGACTAATCGGGTAAAAAAAGAAAAAAAATATATCCCAATTATATTTTAAGTTATATAAAAAAAATGAAATTCTTCAGAAATTGAGACCGTTTATGATATTTTTCACTACCATGACCACAATTTTTTAAATATTTTTTTCTTTTTCTTTTATAGGCAACCTGAATAGTACTGCTATCTACCACAATTCTTAAAAACTCCAGAATAACTCTTGTTTTATCACGAAAATTAATGAAACTTATTTTATTCCCTAAATTTTTTGAAGACTTTTACTTTTAACCAAATTTAACTTATCGTGGTGTAAAAAAAAAGTATGAACACTAGTATGGCAAGTTTTTTTAAAAATTGACGCAACTAACCAATATTCCAAAATGGTATAATACTCTAGGAAAACAAGTTATAAAAAAATATGGGCCTATTATTTCTTAACAGGGGCCAAATGACGGTCGGGTGTAATAAAAGTATTATTTCTTGAAAAATGTTTAATATTTCAAAACAAATGGTACAAACAGTTTCACGTGTAATTTATTAAGTTATTAACATTATAGCAAATGTTCGAACTGTTTGCCACCAGCATTAATACATGCACGACATCGCCTTAAAAATGATCGTTTTATTTGTCTTGCATATCTTCTGCTATTAATGTAATCAGCAGCCTGAGTGATATTTCGACGAAGCTCGTCCAATGTCACAATGGGTTTTGAGTAGACCCTGTTTTTAAGACAACCCCAATAGAAGAAGTCCAGGGGGTTCAAATCGGGTGAACGGGGTGGCCATAAGATAGGACCAAGTCGCCCGATCCAACGCCCTGGATACTCTTGATTTAAATATTCTCGCACAGGACGGGCATAATGTGCTGGGCAACCATCATTTTGGAACCACATGTTTTGAAGATCACTTAAGGGCACGTCGTTTAACAATTCTTGCAAGTCATTTTGTAAAAAGTTTAAATAACTATTGCCATCTAAGTTTCCTTGTAACTCAAAGGGCCCAATTACTTTTCCATTTAATATGCCGGTCCATAGGTTAACCTTGAATTGATATTGGGATTTGTCTTGTCTCATCAAGTGTGGATTTTCATTACTCCAACTATGTAGATTGTGAAGATTTAAATACCCATCTTTCTTGCACGTTGTTTCATCCGACCATAGAATTTTGTCTAGGAAGTGGGGATCTTCACTGTGCCTTTGCAGCATTACACGGCAAAATGTGACCCGTAGCGGATAGTCCCGCGGTAATAACGTCTGCACACGCCTGTAGTGATATGGGTGAAGCTTGTGACGTTATAATATTCGATGTGCAGAACTTTTCGGGATTCCTGTAGCTTCTTCTATGGCACGTACCGAAGTAGTCGAGTCATTTTCTATCTCCTTGAGAACTTCTTCATCACGATCCAATCTAGGTCTTCCAGCGCTGCTCCTATTGGATGGCATACGACCCTCCGAAAACGCTTGATGCACATTAATAAACACTCGATAATCAGGATATCTTTGAGCATTTGGGTATCTTTCTGGATACAGTCTGCTAGCAGCGTTAGCATTACATCGGCATTCTCCATAGATTAAATGCATATTAGCGTATTCCTGTGGTGTGTACGGTTGCGGCATGTTAAACGCCAAACAGTCCAAAATGCGCCAGAACTCTAAATCACAAAACACACAATCGTAGTCCAAGATAATGCCAGGTCAGTTCAGTTTGCAGATCACTTCCAGTCCAAATAATGCCAGGTCAGTTAAGTTTGCAGGTCGATTCCAGTCCAAAAAGCCAAGCCAAAAGTCGATAGTATGTACGAGGGCCACGTAAGTTGAATTGGGTACGGTGCGCAGTAAACAAAGGAGCAGAGCGTACTGAACCGACTTGCTGAGAATAATAACAGCTTCTCTACCTGCCCTGTTGTTGTCTCTTTTTAACGTAAATATCTCTATGTATCTATCTATCTCTAACATCTAAGGTATTAATGCCCCATTCGAATTCCTAGAAATTGTAACAGGAACCCATTTTGGGCATGTAGTAAAAGTGATTACTGACAATTACAATTTAAGGAATTTGGCCCCTGTTAAGAAATAATAGGCCCATATTTTTTTATAACTTGTTTTCCTAGAGTATTATACCATTTTGGAATATTGGTTAGTTGCGTCAATTTTTAAAAAAACTTGCCATACTAGTGTTCATACTTTTTTTTTACACCACGATAAGTTAAATTTGGTTAAAAGTAAAAGTCTTCAAAAAATTTAGGGAATAAAATAAGTTTCATTAATTTTCGTGATAAAACAAGAGTTATTCTGGAGTTTTTAAGAATTGTGGTAGATAGCAGTACTATTCAGGTTGCCTATAAAAAAAAAAGAAAAAAATATTTAAAAAATTGTGGTCATGGTAGTGAAAAATATCATAAACGGACTCAATTTCTGAAGAATTTCATTTTTTTTATATAACTTAAAATATAATTGGGATATATTTTTTTTTCTTTTTTTACCCGATTAGTCCGGGGCAGGTCTATCCTCCGGTGTTGGCTTATCGTTGAATTTTGGGACACGTTGTATATATATATATATATATATATATATATATATATATATATATATATATATATATATACATATATATACTATCTACTATATACTACTACTACTTAAATGACTTTGGAAAAACCCAAAATTAGGGGCTTTTTAGGTGCTAATTAGGTGCCAAGT